AACATTTCTCGACTCGCTCGCTTATGCAATATGTAAGCAGACAGGTGCAATTTGTATTGTTATTAATATCATTTTATTTATTTATTGTGTATTKCCCGAAAGCAAACTCGATTCACATATTATGTCAGCGTCTATTGCCATCTCCCTCTTTATTCTCTCTCCCTATCGTACAATGTTCGCTTTTGGGTCATGATATCATTTGAAGCAGAGCTTATTACTCATTCGCGCCAAAAAGAAAAGAATAAATGGAAATACATAAATCCAAGTAAAATGGGGTTGGTGCGGACATCCCATGATGTCAGAGCAGTTTTGCAGGCACTGTAAATTGGTCTAAAACGCAATTTGTTTTGATTTTGCGTTGCAGCTGGGAAGAGTTCAATGAACACAATACACTGCTTGAAGAAAGGGAAGTTCGTGGCAAGCAGTGCGGTTAGCCCTCACCCTAACTCCAGTGCAGTTCGACGTAGTTTCTTTGCCTCAGCCCTCAGACACAGTCGCGCTTCAACACTTCCAATTTGACGCGCCGAATGTATGTGTGTATGACAGTTTGTCTATGAATCACGACAATGCGTTTCGTCGCAACGCCAACCACACCGCACCCACTACGTTAAATTGAACGTAACGTTAGCTTCGTGGCAGCTGGCCGAACTAATACGAAGTCGAATCGTCGTATGCTTTGACACGTTGCTAAACACATTCTGACGAACGCTTGCGCTCGTGGGCGCCTACATACATACGTAGTCAAGTTTGTAGCTTTTGTTGTTGCAATTGCGCGTTATCTTTTTACTTTCATGCGCTGGGATCGCGCACTCCCTCTCTCTCGTGTGCGCTCTTTGCTGTGCAAACTTGCTCCATTCCAGAAAACTTGTTTGGACTGCGTGCGTGCTGCTTCGTCTCTCTGTTTCTCTCTCTCTTTCGCACACAGCTCCTCTGCGACGGCAGTAGCGCGGCAGCGGCTTATTGGTTTGTTTTGTGTTTGAACTTCTTCCAGTTCTTTTGCTGCGCTCGAAGCAGACGGCGGTCCGCAGTATCGCTTGTAACTTAACAGTTGTTTTTAACAGTTTTCGTGTGTGTGTGTGTGTGTTTGTGTATGTGCATTGGCCAAGTTTAATTAGAGTTAGACACGCCAATTCAACTTTGCACATATTTTTGGCGCCAAGTTCCTGTTATAAAGAAGAAAAAAGAAATAAATTCTAACTATGGCCGGTGGCAGCAAACGTTACTCACGCAATAGCTCCAATGGCAATTTCCAGTCCCTACCCGAACGTGGCCCAGGTAAATGCTACAACAACAAGAACGAGAAGAGAATCAAATAACTGTAAACGAGTGCTTATCATCTGTCTACTTTGATTTATCATTAAGCCTTATCTATGCTCTGGCCTGTCACTGTTACTGTTCGATTGCCAACGTCAGCAGCGCAGCCAGCGTGGCCATTAAATTGCTGCACAGCAACAACTACATTTACCTTTTGCATAATTTACTTTGGGCTGCCATTTTTGTTGTTGTACGATCAGCTCTTGAATTTTGATTGCCACGTCGAAAAGTTTCTTTCGGCTAACGGGGCAGTCAACGAACTTGCCTACAACAAGAACAATAACAAAACTTAACGAAATCAAGAGCTTATAATAAGCATATTCCATAATTTTATGCCTGCACTTGCAATCGCACACTCAGTTGTGCGTGTGTGTGTGTGTTTAGTCTAATTCAAGGTTATCTTCGCCGCGTGCTCGCTAAATACGCGCTTGAGATGTGCACGTGACGTCACAATCACGCACGACATGCAAATTGAAGTCATTTTGATACGTCTGCTTTGTGTAAAATTTTGTTCCTTTGAGCGGAAGTTGTTTTTGTTTGAGAAGTCTAAGAACTTCAAATTTTATATATTTTCTGTCACATAATTTAAATCAAAATGGGTTGAAAGCAGTTAGAAAGAAAGAGAGAGACAGATGCGATGGATGTATTTTTTCATTCACACATCCTTTATAGCATATAATGATACTCATATTTAGCTGCGATCCGAAAGACACCTTTCCATCATAGGCATACTTCTAACAATACTCACGGTGACACCGGCGCACATCTCTAGAATACATACAGAGACAGACACTCATACACACTAGCTTACATGTTCCTTATCTAGGCACTTTTGGTGCTCGTCTTCTTACTCTTCTTCGTTTTTATTTTGTAGAGTCCACTTCACTTTCTGCGCAAACTTGTTTGTGATTGAAACCAGTTGGTGATCGCCCATAACATTCCCAGCTCACATGCCCCCAGTTCCAGATCGAACTTCCAATTCCAGTGGCCAATGCACTTCTTCCTCCTCTTCTTCTTCTGTTGTTGCTTTATCAGCCTACACGCTTTCAATATGTTTAATTGTGGCGACGTCTCTTATTCAATTGATAAAGAGACAACCACAAAGGAAACTTTCTCTCGCAGCGCTTTCTTTCGTATGAGAAAATATGTATACACACAAATATATATGCATATGTCTGTATTTATTTATGCTCACACATTGGATTGTCTTTTAACCCAGTTTCAATTTGTTGCCCATCTCTTGTTTCCTTTCTAATTTGCTGTCGATTTGCATAACCTCCAGACGTGTCTGCTTGGCAACTAGCTGCTGACAGACTTATTTGATTTTTGTTGTTGTCTAGCTTAACCCACCCCCCAAAACAAGTTTTTTTTTCTGCTTTTCCTATTTGCTTAGCTGTTGCTGCTTCTGCTTCTTTCGTAGCTGCTCGCATGCTTTTGTCCATGATCTGCTCTATTGGAAGCTTTCCAATGCGAGCCTGTGGATGCGCTGCTCTCTTTCCCTCTCCTTTGTGCTTTCTAACAGCTGGTTTTTGTTTTCAACATTTCTATTAAGCTCCAGCTGTGAGCCTACCAGGAGTGCGAGAGTGTGAGTGAGCGAACGGGTAACCATCGAATTCTTATTGGAAATGATGAGAGCGAGAAATCTTATTTAAATGAATGGATTCACTTTAACTCGACAATTACTTTGATATTAATAACAGAGCGAATGAATGCCGAATTCTGATTAGAAATTGAGAAAGTAATATTTATTAAAATTATAAGCAATATATCAACCTAAGCAACCCCACGCACGCACGCTCACACACACAGGGTATTAAGAAATTAAAATAATGTTTTTGCACCTATTTTGAAAAGTGCTTTAAAAATAGAAGAGGGTGCAAAACGAATGAAGAACACATAAAATTCGTATTTAATTAAACGCACATTGTTTATTGTATAATGGTTAATGAATCTAATAGAAAGAAAAAAGAAGAATCCGCTATTCGAGTACTCTATTTATAGCTAAAATCAATTGAAAGATTTTTCCGCCAAATAGAAAAATCGAAATTTCATTGAATTCGCTAGGCGATTGAGTGCATTGACTGCTAATCGGATAATTTCAATGGGAGGAAGGGAGAAAGGGGGATAGTTATCAAACTGTAAAACCTATACATATATTATTTATGTCCATATATGCTTGATATACGAATATCTATATCATTCATTGATCATTTAAGTGCTTTTACAGTGTTTCAATTCGCATCCGTTTCGCTCTCTTAGAATTTCGGTCGCTCTCCCTCTCCCGCTCTCTTTCACTTTCTCTCTCTCTCTGTTGTGCGTGTGTGTTCTTTTGTCCGGCTCTGCGGTCCGGAATATTTTGTTTAAGGCATATAATATTTGTCTAGTATAAAACTTGGCAACGAACGCCTCAAGCACCGATCGCAACAACGAATAAAATGTCGAGCAGAATCTGTGAGTGAGCGATATAAAAATATATATAAATAAATATATATAACCCATATATATGTACATACATATATATTTATGTATATGTAGTATATGTGCTAATCGTGCAACCAATCATTATTAGCTGACATTTGCATGGGCTGCAGCATAGTTGATCTCTGTGTAGTAGCGTGTGTGTGTGCTTGTGTATCGCATAGATTGCATAATTGTTAGAGCAAGATATACGCACACTTACGAACATTCACACATACATATACAGACAGCTGTCTCATGGCCTTTGCATGCGTGTGCTTTTTGTGTATTTTGGTCTTCTTCAGTCACTCGTCAACTGTGCGCATTGCCAAACTTGAAAAAAAGAAAGAAATTCAGTGGGTAACAGAAAACAGCAAAATGCGAAGGAGCAACACCACTGCTTGTCAAAGTGTACAAGCAACGGTCCTCTTGGCGCTCTCTCTTCACTGACTACTTTCCTCTTAGCGTGGCTTGTGAAACTGTGAAGTGCGTGCTTTTCATGATGACTTCCAAACTGATAATTGACTGCTTGTTAATCTGCTTGTTTAACTTTTTAAGCTTTGGCTGACTCAAACTGCAGCAGCTTTAAAATGTTGACTCTCTCTTATACTCAATTCCTTAGGTAATTGATTATGAATCTTTTTTGCATATGCTTCTTCAACTGTAACTGTAAAGCACAAGACAACTTACAATACTTAAGCTCTCTACACTCTAAACTGTGAAGAGCAACATGACTTATAACTTTTATATGTATACTGTAGCTGTGTGTTTTCTTAAATTGTAAAGGGCAAGAAAAATGTTCGCTTTCTCTTAATAAGTGAGCGTATCAAATTTTGCTTACCGCTAAAGCTGTCACAGCCATACATTCATACAAAGTTCTGCTCTTATATTATGTACTCTTGTGTATGTATTCTCCACAAAATTTGAAGTCGATTGATAAAACAGAGCATGGGAGTTATTCAAACTGTTACAGCTGCCTCGAAAATCTGTTAAGGCTTAGTAAACTTTACATTACTCTTATACGAATAGTAGTTGCATCTTTTATACGAAACTAGATGCACTCTGTTGCTCTTATATTAAAGCCATCTATAAATTCTGCTCAATAGGATGAATCGTATGCTTTTTAAACTGTAACTGGAAATAGATCAAACGCTTTGTGCTTCTACCATACTTGAATGCTTCTTAAACTGTAACTAACTTCGATTTTTACTCCCTCTGCTCATTTCCAGTCGAATCGCTGATCTATTGGCGCGATGTGAAAATGTCGGGAATTGTATTCGGCGCCGGCCTCATCACCCTGGTGGCCATCTCCTGCTTCTCGGTGATCAGCGTCTTTGCCTATTTGTCGCTGCTCACTCTGATTGGAACCGTCGCCTTCAGAATCTACAAATCTGTGACACAGGCGGTGCAAAAGACAAACGATGGACACCCCTTCAAGTGAGTAGAGAGGATGAGAGAGGGGGAGAAGGAGAGAAGAGAGATAACCTATGTTTGCCTCTTTTTTTTAGAGAATATCTGGAACTGGATCTGACGCTCTCGCAGGAGAAGGTGCAGCACATTGCGGGCGTGGCTGTGGCTCATATAAATGGCTTCACGGCCGAGCTGAGGCGCTTGTTTTTGGTTGAGGATATCATTGATTCGATTAAATTTGGAGTTATTCTGTGGGTATTCACCTACATTGGAGCTTGGTTCAACGGCATGACGCTGGTCATACTAGGTATTTCGATAAATCTATGGTTAGTTAGACTTATATTAACCTATATTCTTGTTTACTTGATTAGCCTTCGTCTCGCTGTTTACCTTGCCCAAGGTCTATGAGAATAACAAACAATCGATCGATACCTATTTGGATCTGGTGCGCAACAAGTTGACAGAGATTACCGACAAGTGAGACATACTAGCTGTACTTATATATATATAGTCGAAGATGTTAATCTGTTTATGCTTTCAGAATCCGGGTAGCTCTGCCCATTGGCAACAAGAAGCCAGTCGCCGCCGCCGAGTCGGAAAAGGACAAATAGAAAGCAAATAATAATAGCAACAACAACAACAACAACATGTTTATTTATTTATTAAGCATTATTTGAATGGTTTGAAATATTCATTTGGGGCATAACAAAATAAATACATCTCTATTATATATATGCAAATTGTATAAATACAATTTACAAGCAACAACAACAACTATGTAAACCCAAAACTAAAAATTTTGAAAACAAAAGCAAAAACATTTAAGAAACAAAACAAAAAAAAAAAAAAAAGAAAACAAAAAATATCAACTCGTAGCAGTTTAAACATTGTCCAAGTGTCTTTAAGTTTTTAAACGAACGAAATCAATTTGCATAAAATAAAAATCAAAAATTGTTTTAAAATAAAGAGAAAAACAAGAACACAGCCACAGCAATGCAATTAAGCGATTCCTCCGTTTCCAAAAACCAAATTTACATTTGACTTTTTTGTTTTTGCATCGAGACTTTTAACGAAGAAAAACTTTGATTTAGTCAAAAGATAAAAACTTAAATGCATAGAAATATTTATGCAAGATAAAAAGAAAAAACAAAAACATTGTACACCCATTTTTATTAGCAACTTCTTTTCTAATTAATTAAAAACGCTTTGCTTTAGTTCTAATTATAATTTTTGTTGGTTTTTTATACATAAACAAAAAATCAAAATAAAAACAAGTGAAGTAAAATATAAAACAAATGAATTTTTCTTATTTACATCTATTTTTTTTTATTTATTTATTTATTTTTTTTTTAATATCTGATTTTTTTCATAATATAAAATATTTTTACTTCAACTATTTTAAAGCATTCACAATTTTAGAGTACAAATTTAATAAATTACAAATATATTTTGTCTTAATTTAACACTTGATAAACAATAAGTAAAACTAATGAAAATGTAAAAAAGAACAAATTAATAAAGTTTAAGTTTTAATATTTACTTTAAATATTGTTTAGCTTTTGCTAAAAAATATATGATCTGTATGTTATATGTTTTTTAACAAAAGTTAAAACATAATTAAGTAAATATTAAAATTTCAACTTTGACTTTAAATATATTTGTTTTTAGATTTGCAATTTTAATATTTCTATTTACTGTTTTGCAAGTGTTAAATTTATATAAAATATAATTTTAATTTATTTAATTTTTACTTTAAGTGTTAAAAGTGTAAATAAATTCTTTCTATATTTGCCTATTGCTTGTCTGAAAAGAGAAAACAATT